TGGTCAGATTTTTGATATTTTGTGGTGATTTCTTTGAAAAAATCAGATTTTTTAGGCGTTTATAATCAATTTTTCTCTTTTGTACATCACAGAAACATTTAATATGATGTTTCAGAAAACAGAGATGATTGTCAAATTATAGTAAAGCCGTTCTTCGAATCTTTAATACGAAACTTTACATTATAAGTTACAAGATAAATTTACCAACAAGAAGCAGCAACATTGGGTACAAATCTGCCAGTCAAGAAAGATGTTACATATAAACTGCAAAAATCATGAGACATTAAAAGAGACAAAACTTTCAATTTTTTTTCTGGTTTATTATTTTTACCTTCTGATTTACTTCCTTAAGCTAAGTGCAGAAAGGACCTTTTTACCGTAAGGATTGGTACGAAGAGATGAGATGTGAAGTTTAATGGCATCAACCAAAAGACCATGAAGACTCCCCTGCAACAATCTGATCTTTAGATACTGAATATGCAATCTAAGGACTGAATCAACAATTGTGATTTCGTTTTCCTACCTTGGATTGTTTAAGAGCTGCTTGAATGACATAATTTCCATAAGGATCCAACATAACTTGGTCCAGACGACCATATGTTATGAGTTCTCTGATGATGCTCGCTTGATGTTTGTCATCAGCTAGTTTCAGACAATTCTCAACCACATTGCTGCTACATTTCTGCATTGATAACTTGGTGTAGCTCCCTTCTAATTGCTTGAGGATCTCATTGATTGCCCATTGAAGCTGAAGCTCAAATACATATTGGAGAACATAGTTCCTGAAACCATTAGATCTTCTCTCCATTATCAACAAACATTGGTTTCAGAAACTCAAAAGAGAAAAGATTCAAAACATATATATACCCAAAAGGGTCTTGAGAGAGGAGTAGAGCATTAGAGGCAATCTCAGAGACTAAGTGATCTTTTTGTGTTCTTTCGAAATAGCCAAGACATTTTTGAAGTACACAACAGCCATGTCTATCAGTTGCAAGCTCAACACAGTGAGTAATCACAGCTTCAAAAAGAAACTGAATTAACAGACAAAAAAAAATGGATCACATTTTCATATCATTTAAGATTATTAGAGTGAATCTTTAACTTACAAAAGAGTGAATAAAGTCATCGTTACCTTCTTGCAGTGAGGTAACAAATACTGCAAGCACCGTTGAACAACGTGATTACCGTTTACATTCTTTATTAATGTCACAATGCCATGATTCAGAGCAGAGATTATGCTTGAAATCTCCCCTTGTCTCTTAACCGTTTCAACAATCTTTTGAACAGCTCTAGTCCTGTAATAACAACATAAGAAGATCACGTCAGGTAAAAAAACAACAACACATATAGGAAGAAAAGTATTTTACTGTTTTGTTTACCCGTGCATGTCACAAGAGATTTTGATAAGCATTCCTGGAGGTCTAGTAATGGATTGAACAATCTGTATTCTCTGATCTTCACTGCATACTTCTAGCAGTTTCTGAACTAGATAATTCCCAAAAGGGTCTATCATAAGCTCACTGATATAGTCAATGATCTCATCAAAGATCATATTGATATCATTCCCATCTTTCTCAGCAAATTTCCTCTGCAGGAAGCGGCATCCATGCTGATCCTTGGCCATGTAGTATATCTTCCCTCTTGCCTCCGCAAGAGAGTTATACTTTGGAGACTGTAACTTTAGATTGTTGAGGCTCATTGAGAGATCTTCACTGACTCCACCACCATACTTTATGACTTTAGCAGTGTTTAAACCCAGATGTGATCTCACTAAAATCTTCTCCGGATAGTACATTTTCTTTCTTACACCATCCAAACTCCTCATGCTGCTTTCATCACTGTCTTCTCTATTACAAAACAAGTTTCTAGACTGTTCAGCTCGATGATAACCAAAATGTTCCCGTCTTGGAGCAGTATCCATTAAATGGCACTCATTGTTATAGAAATAGAGGAAAGGTGGGTTCACAGGCATGTACTGTTCTTCTTGCAGCTTCAGCTCTTCTTCGATATTCCTCCAGTTGATATGAGATTGATCAAAAGCTTGACGGTGAGGCAGAGAGGATGGCATGTAATGCTGCGGCTGAGCATTAGGAAAGTAACCAACATGTTGCAGCTTTCTATAAATTAGTGAATCGAGTTTTCTTGAGTCGAACTTGTCATATACACAAGGTGAAGTGTTTGGAGAGTGGTAGGAAGGGATGCACATAAGTTGAGGATTCTCTGGAGATTGATTTGGGCTTCCAAAGTTAAAGTTTCCTTCAGAGGTAAATGCGTGGTCACCGGGAAGATGTAGATGTTGTTCTTCAAATGTAGCCACTTTCTTGATGGATGTTGATGATCTGCTTGAGCTCAAACAAATAGGAAAAGGGCTATAATCATTTCCTGAAGTAACTTTGGGAATCTCTCCAAGAAGCTTCTCTAATTCATCAAACTCTTGCTCATTTCTTCTATGATCCATCTCAAGATTGATGATTTACACACACTCAACAGAGGAAAAATCCAAATTCTGATGATCTAAGAACAAAACAAGAGCACTTGAGACTGAATCAAGTTACACCAAAGAGATGTAAGAAACAGACAAAAGATTTTAGTGTCCATAAATTGTTCTTATTTTTTAATACAAGAAAGACTTTATAAAATATTGTAAAAGAAAAAGAAGTCATTGGTGGGTTCTAAAATAGATCAAAAACAAAAACAAAATACATTGGGATCAGAATCCACCACTGATCAACAACACAACATTACTTCTACTTTGTCTTAAATATACTTTCAGTTTCACTACAAGCTGAACCACTCAATACGATCATCATTTACATATTAAATTTTCATAGTGACATTGTGAGATCAAAGACTAAACTAAACGATCATCCAATTTTTAGCAAAAAAAAAAAAAGCAAAAAACGATATCAGATTTGAACACACACAAATCTTAGAAGAGAGACCTGTTTTGAGGATGAAACTGAGATTTTGTACGACGATCAAGAAAAAAAAACTTACAATACTAAACAGAAGGGAAAAGGTTAGATCTTCGTGTTCCGATCAAATCTCCACGTTTAGAAGAAACGCACTGCAGTGATGAGAATGCGAGAGAAGTTGTTTACCTGTGAGGATGAAGAACACTCTAATCGGCAAAAAAAGGTAATGAAGGGAGGAAAAAATCTCACACACGCAAAGAGAGAAAAGGAAACAAAAGAAAGATTAAAAACCCATAAAAGAAAAGGAAAATATTTGTGTTTCCAAAAGAGGAAATATAATGAAGAAGAATAAGAGAAAATAAATGAAAATGAAAAAAGTTTCTACGAAAATGCAAAGAGAGTGCGAGAGATGGAGTTTTTATTTGTTAGCCGGCGTGAAGAAGAAGGAGAAATATAGAGAGAGTCTGAGTAAAAGTATTGGAGCATTTTTATTTTTATGTTATAGTAGCAAAGAGAGAGAGAAAAAAAAAATGAAACAAATAAATCGGATCTTTTGATTTTATATTCTTATGAGAAGAGGAAAACTGAATTAAATGAAATCAAATTTGAATAAAATCAAATTGAATAAAATCAAATAAGAAGAAAACATGCATTAAAATGATGCGGAGAAAGGAGTTAATAAAAAAAAGAGTGCATGAAAATGGAAAGGTCTTTTGGGTGACAACTTATAAAGTCTCTCTCTGTTACTTCTTTTGGTACGTTTTTTTCTTTTTTTTTTGTGGTTCTCTGTTTCTTTATATACACGTAGATATGTGCACACATCTATCTATACACGTGTTTTTATAAGTTATAACGTATACTAGGATCGACCCGCCCTACAGGCGGGATATGTTTTACTTGTGATCAAGATTATTATTATTTATTTGATATTGTGGTTTATGTTTTAAGTTTGCAGTTGAAAGAGATATATATGATAACAATTTTTGTATTTTAGAAGACTTTAGCATTTTAAGTGAGGAGAGCTTATATGTGATCAGATATATTTTGCTTGTTTACAATATTTATACATATCTTTTATCTCTTTAAGATTTTTTTTATCTTAATAAACTATACAATCCATTACTTTCTATTTTTCCAGGTTATGATTGATTAACCACAGTATTAGAGTTTAAAGATAAAGAATGGAAGTTGTCAAGCTAAAAAATCTTTTTTTTTTTTTATGTTTTATGTTATGTTTTGAAGAGTTTTAAGCTTGAAGTTATGTTTTTGACACTATTTTTTAAAAGTTTTTACATATATCTTATATTCTTTAATTTATATTTTTGTTAAAAATATTTTCATCGTCGTGACAAAAAGATTAGTGTGATATGATTTTTATTTTTAAGAGCAGTTAAACAATGTGAATACTTTTCTGATATTTTTAAGTGTTTAATGAAGGGGGCACTCAATTACCGACGAAGTTCAGTTCGTGCTTATTCTTGTTTTGGGTTTTTAGATATAGAGAATAAAATTTTTATTATAGTTCAGACTCGGTTCAGATTTTTGTAGGTCTAGATATCTATTTAAATCATGTAAACTGAAAATCATAAGAGATTTTTAAAACATCAAAATCCTAAAATAAAACTAATATACATATATGTTAGACTAACATATTGTTAAATACTTTCATAAAAATTAGTTCAACCGAGTAGTTAAATGGAAAACATTAGATATCTTGGTGTTTAAAAGGTTTTTTTTACTATTTCGAATATTTACTTTTTTTTGCTAATTTAAATATTATTTGGTATTCTGGACAATTTCAAGTATTTTTGAATATTTTTTTGATATTAGATCTAAAATTAATTATTATAAATTAATTTAAAATTATAGTTTAGTTGTTTTGTGAATACTTGAAATATCTCAATTCTGATTCGGTGGATAAGTTTTGGAAAGCATTTAAATATTTTACCATCTTCATTTCGAGTTTGTTATATTTTTGAATCTTATTTAATTTGGTTATTTGTAATTGGATATTTTGTTTAGTTTCTTTTGACTTATTTATCTATTGTGAAATTTTTATTTTCATCGTAAAACACTTTGTTTAAAATATCAGCCGTTTAGTGGACTAATTGACTGAGTAAGCATGAAACGGTGGTTGACCGCGGCAATTTAGACTGGTTCGATTGTATTCTTGTTGGACCACATAATAGGAGTGGCATGCATAGAATTGAAAAAAAAAGCATCTGATTTATACATGAAATTCCTAACAGTTACTTCCTTAATCTTCAGTGATGATATCATATTTGGCCTAATTAAGTCAAAACCAATTATAATATCAGATCTTGTCCAAGCCAAACCAATAATTAATTTTGAAATCCAAACCTATGTTCAAGCCGACTGTTTGGCTAAACAAACCCTAAAGGGCTCTATCTCTTTTGCCCAATCGGGCTGATCTTGGGCCTGAGGCCATGAACCTCTTTATTTTAATTTTAATATAAGCTGATTGACAAAAAAAAAACTATGTTTAATTTGAATTCCAAACCAATCATTAAAACATGGTAGATGACACTTGAGCTGTTTGAGATTAGAAGGCCCGTTATTATGAGTTTTACTCAAAATTGTAAACGCTATATGGCTTCTTAGGTATTGGCTTTGGTAATTCCCGTTGGGGTTCTGTGACATTGCTCCCACCCTCTACATTGTCCCTGCATTACAATGATATAAGTGTTTAAAAAGTATATGTAACGTGTATGTCACATTGTTGTAGGAGACAATAGTTTTGTGCAAATCACCATTTGAGTGTCATCCTTCATATGCACAAACATTTGTTAGATGTCATTGTTGAGTCGAAAGTAACAAACACAGCTGTTTCTGTATTATCAGAGACAACCATCTCAAGTTAGCTATTCTAAACCCGAGCTCCATGAGTAGTCTTTCAAATGAGGCGGAGTATCACCTGGCGGCACCGATTACGGCTATGGCGATACATATCATGCAGCTGAAGGATGATACTCCACACTGCAGTTTTCTCGAATATTTGGAACACGAAACATAGCACCACCTTTTGCAAGTTTTGATGCCTTCGGCTTTCCTAGAGCAAAGAAGCTCCGGCTGAATATACGACAATGAGTTAATGTATGTTTCCAACTCGTGCCTCATGAGAGTCTATGGAAAGTGTATAGATTTTATTTCTACCTGCGGAGGATTGTTGAGAATGTATGCGTTTAGATCAGTAAGTGTTGCGCTCTCAAGTTACTGAACACCACCATATTTGAAACCACTTCCAGGGATAATTTCTATTGACTCCACCTAAGCTGCGGTGTTTGATGTATTGATTTAATTAGCAATCAATTAAGGATTTTTTTTTGGGAAAATTGTACTGAGAGACACTTAATCAACGTACAGTTGCCAATGAACCCAAAATCATGTCATGAGACTAACTAACCTATCTCAACTGTTTAGCTATAGCAGGGACACATACCTGAAACTGTTCAAAGTAATTTGGCACGACATTGTCCTCTCCAAGAATAATATCACCTTTCATTGACTTCTCTAAACCAATAATTCGCTTCAGCAACTTCCTGCACCCGTTGGGACCTATAATAGCGATTTTCTCTCCTCTTTATATTGCTAGATTAGCCTTCTCAAATAGCATCTGGTTTGCAAAAAAAAAAAATACACGGGTCAAAAACATAAAGCAATAACGGAAATATGTTAATATCAAGTAGGGCTTCGATTCCACTAACTCATCTTATGCTTGAAACGAAATTCAATGTTTTTAATCAAGAAAGTGACTTTATATTGCCTTTGGTCTTGATAACGTTAGCTGAATAGGGTTCTTCTTGCCCAGTGATGATCCTATCGAAGTTCTTTCCGGTTTGTTTCCTATCGAGGTCTGGTTGGAAAGATGGTTTTGAGATGAGGAAGGCATAGCCTTTTATGTCCGTAGGTACACCGACTTGCATGAGCGAAGCTCGCATTCAAGGTAGATGCATGGGTAATAGATTTAAGGACTTGAAGAAGATGGATCTGTAACTGGTAGATTCTCGGATTGTTAGGAAGAAGATGAAACAACGCATGGAACCCCTAGGTTAAGATTTAGTTATCGAATGGCGAAGCTGAAGAACATAAATCAGAAACGACGCGTTTCATTACAATTGGGATTTCTCTTTATTCGGATTGGGTTCCACTAAGCCAAACATAAAGCCTGATTACAAACTAAAACCCACATGCATTGCACACTCAAATAAATGAAACGCAGTGCTTTGTTGAATGGGACACGTGTCACTTCCTTATAACACTATTTAGTGACGTGGCTTGATAAGGAGGGAGTGAACATTTCTTTATATATATAGATTTCTACACATGCTTTAAATATTAGAAGACTATCACAAACGCTTTACCAAATGTTAGTATATTTCACAATTTATCATAAATAATATCTACAATTGGTAAATTAACCATTAACTTTATACAAAAATTGTTTTAAAAGTTTCATAAAAGTAGTTGAAACTGAATGAATGTTTGGCTAATTGTTTTCTAAGTTGGAGACATTCTAAAATGA